TACCTGGTAAAACATGGTTCCTCGGTGGCTGGAGAAATCAGCATCATCCCAAAAGGGAGCCACCAGGGCCACAGGGTCCCAGCCTGTGAAGGCTCTACGGGGTGGGTTAGGGTAGGAGATCTGGTAGTCGGACTCTGGGAAAATGATCTGGCCATTATCTGTGAACTGAGCACATGGAGTCTTCTAGTTAGCATTTAGGGAGGGGGGCAGGGAGGGAACTTTCTCGTTTTGAGCCAGCTCCTCAGGAGTGAGGCCCCAAAGGGCCTCTCTGGGTAAAACGTCAGAGATGCCAATGACCCCTGGGAGGTCATCTCATCCATCTCCCTGCCTTTGGGATGAGCCCCCTTTGCATCATAATCTCTTCACCCTCCTGACATTCCTTGTGTCCTAAATCCTTCCTAAGACTGTACGCTTTGTCCTGCTTCAGTGGTAGACAAGCTCCCCTCCCCACATCCCCAACTATAGACCAGCCCTTCACACAGCCAACCCTCTTAGTAAATCCCCTGGGCCACATCAGATGGGATTAAAAAGATTTATACCCTCACCCTATTGCTGTTTAGCCCTCTCTCGTAGTGCGTCCTGGTTAAGCCTCCCTTCTCTGAGAGCAAGAGGGGCCAGTATTGTTGTCTCCACACTATTCCAAGAGAGACTTGAGGTACTTGGACAAGGGGACTAGGAAATAATTATAGAAAATGCAATAACATGAAACAGTCATGTTTCCTAACTATAGCTTTCTACTCATAAAAAGACCTAGTGAAAACAGCAGAGAGCTTTTTACTGGGTAAAGACACTTCCCCCCATACTGGTAGCAAGACCTTGCCTTGCTCCCTGTCTTCTTCAGCTATCATCCAGACGTTAAAGAAGATTTTGAATGTCACTTGAGCGAGTGGCAGGGACACAGTAGGTGCCTATAAGTGGTGCTTCCATTCTCCTTCCTCTTTCTCCAAGAGATACGTCCGCTAGAGAGAGAAACAGGGCCCTATAGCTTGGGCTGCAGCCGGGGACTCACGTAGAGGGAATCCCGGAGAGAGGAGCCGAAAGGGAAACCAATCTCGGGCTTGAAGAGCGGTGAAGTAAAGTCCGTGGTCCTCTTGACAAACTCCTGGTCTCCAACACTCAACCCATAAGGGAAGAGGGAAACACCTGAGCAGTACAAAGAGAGGTAGGAAATCTTCATGGGCCTTGATCTTTTTAGGGATGAAAGAGATCCCCAGAGAACTTTCCCCAACCTGCTTCTCCGTCCTTGTCCTTTATCCCTCAAGCGGCCCCAGTAGGCTCTACCTGGGAGCTATTGAGGACTCCTCCTCCTCCTCATTCACATTTAACCCATCTCCTCATTTTATACTTAGAATTGGTACTCTTGTCCTTAAGAACTTCAACTCCAGTTTGTAGAAAACAGGTGCTGCTATCAGAATACCAATTATTCTGCATCTGCTATGGTAGTTTCAATTCTTTTAAGGGTTAAATGATAAAAATTCTCTGATGCAGTGAAAATTCATAATTGAAAAACCTTTTCATAGAATAAGATTTGTTTCCTAAGATGGTATCTCTCTAGGTAAACTTGAAGAC